GACAGTTGTTTATCACGATGCTTATGAAAAGCAATGGGTAATGTCAATTTAGTCTTTTGCCAGCCCCATTTTTGTCTGGGATAATAGGTGAAAAGCTATAATAAGCTGTTTTCATTCTCAACATCTTGGTGGAAAACAAGTTGCCTGAAGAGATCTTTTTAAAAGCTAAAATAATTGCATGCTGTATGTGATTTGCTTTGCTGTTCAGCTTGAGTTAGTTATTGATCCTCTAGTATTTCTTGTGATCTCTATTATCTGTAACGATCTGGTGTACAAATAGCCTTACATCTGTAATTTTGTCATAACATCTGATTTATAAAATTGTCTCCTGAGATTTCCGTGACCTCACTTAATCAGACGCATTGTTATGTCATTAGCCAACAGAGCTGAGCAAAAAGTTTATTTTTATAGTGGCAGCATTATTCCAGGTTTACATGAAATCAAAGGCACATGAAGAAATATCAGTTTAGAATGAATAAAGAGTTACCCAAGACTATTTTACTCTATTTCAAACATGCAAATTTCAAGTTTATGCTTTTGTAGGGAATTTTAATACGATACTTTTACTCTGATTATAGAAGAGCACTGTGAAACTGACAATTTGTAAACACTGCTTGAGGAAGATGTTGCTACATCTCATTAACTTCAGGTAGTTCCATGCCTGAAATGTCCATTTAAGTACACTGGGATGAAATTAAGAAAATTAGTTATACTTTATTTAGAATATACAGAAAATAAGTAATTTATCCCAGACTGACTGTTTTGCCATATACTCTAAATAAAGTATTGTTAAACTTGCTCTTCCATTTCAAAACAAAGGGAGATCTTTCAAAACTGTCCTGGTTACATAAAAATAAGATTTGATGTCATATACTATAGAAAAACTGTGGGGAAGCTCTGTGAAATGCCAAATATTCCACAGAGGAAAGACAGATTTCTCAACACCTGTCAGTATTATGGCTTCTACTTGGAAAAAAACCTGTTACTGAGCTGAATTTCAACCCCCTCCCCTTCTTATGCGGAAAAATCTGTAGTAAATGTTAATGTAGTTGATGTGATGGATGACCCATGTTTTCTTGTTTGTCAGGCAGAGTCTGTATGTGATACTCGAAAAATGAAATAGGATCTGTTGCAAAACCCAGAGAAGCCAGCAGCCCTGGTCTCCTGTAATGAAGAAATCCCTTTTCCTACAGTCCAAAGGCATCAGTGCCGTTTGATGTTTAAGGTCTCTTCCACACAGAGATTCAAAGCAGATTTTTTTTGCTTGTTCTGTTTCACTGGGCTGGGGAGAACCAGACGGGGAGCAGCCCTGGCCACGGATGGGGAGAGAGCAGGTCTTAGCTAACACAACAGCCCTTGGAAAGCAGGGATACTGTGCTTGCATGCTGTGATGTACGTACAGTTATTCCTTCTAACAATTGATTATTATTAGATATTAATGGCAACAGTTTGAGTTGTTACCATGATTTAAAGTAGGTTGTGATTTAGGACATATGAAGAGAGGGAAAGGGATGTGGTTGAAGGAGAAGGGTTGAAGTCTTAGGGAAAGTGCATGCATTTAAGAATTATCAATCTTCCTTCTAAAGCTTTCACATATAGTAAATATGTCTGAGAACTGATCTTACTGACAAAATTCAGTAAGATTCAATTAAAAAAAAAAAATATTTTTTTTTCCAAATGCACTGAGCACTTCACCATAGCACTGTGACCCTTCATATGAGGAACAGAATAACTGATGCCTTGGTAGAACACTAATGAGATGAAATGTCCTCTCTTTTCTGAGGATAACCAGATTAATCAGGTTCAGAATATTCTTGCTAAAATTCATTTACACTGCTTTACTTTTATCTTTTAAAAAACCATTACGCGCACAGCTGTATTTTCCTGCAGACTGCTGTGATACTTCAAAAAGCAGTTTGCTGAAGGCAGTTTTGCATCAGTTATATTTATTAATTGAGATTATTGAAAGAGTTTGTAATATATTGTGGCTATGGGTAATAATATTTATTGGTACATGGAGTTAAAGATTCCAGACTAATAACTCATGTTGCGATTGATTGATTGTGCATCCTGGCTAATCTGCTTGTACTAACTTTCAGCAAGCAGAATACAGACAGGGCCAGAAATGGATGCAAATAAAAAAAAAAAAAAGGCAACCTGAAACCACAATTTATCATGGTATCATTGGGAAATAACTGTCGAATCCAGGGGTGTATTGCAATTTTCATTCTAAAGCTGTAGCCTCCTGCACCTCATTTCAATATCTGATGCATTTGGAGGAGTTAGGCAGAGGAAAGCTGTCCCTCGGCAAGTGGCCTGTCTCACCCACCTCCCTAAGAAACACACATAACCGGTGAAGGTAACCAGAGAGCGCTTGCATTGGTTTTACAGCCCTGGACAGTGTTGGGAACCATGTGGCGGTGAAACGGCTTGGTTTTATGTCCTTGTGCGATTGCTCATTTTGCTTTTCAACCAGGGAGCGCTGGGCACACTCCATCAAACACCAGGTTCTCACACATCTTATCTGACCCACTTCAGATTCATACAACTGTCCTTCAGAAATGATTTTCCATGCTTCTGCATCATGTAATCCCTCAGAAAACTCCTGCTCTCCGTTGCGTTTCCTTATCCTTAAGCAAGCAGTTTTTAATAGCATCTTTGGAAAACAAACTTCAGAAGATATTGATACCTAAGTAATCCTTCTGCTTTGTAAACTCCGAATGGTGAAGGAGGTTGGCTGATTTTGAAGTCATTTGTGTCTCATATCTGTGGAAATCAGAATGCCAGTGTGTGTTGGTTGCGTTAGATCCCATCTGATGGAGGTACCCACTAAAAATAGGACAGAAGTCCCTAAATACTGTAATGCAAAAGCCTATCGCAAAAAACAGCTAATGTTTGTTTTTTGTTTTACTGTTTTACTGTTTCTCTTTTAAAGAGAGCAAAAAATGAACTTTTTTTTAAGCATCTGGTAAATATTTTTAGAATACAAAAATGTCCCGTGAAAATATCTTTCAGATACTGGGTGAAACAGTTCTTCCATTAGAGATAACTACTTTAAGTTATTCTTAAGGCTTTTTGAAAATACCACTCTCTTCAAAAATGCTATTTTTTTCAGTGAACAATAGGATCCCCCTTCTTATTGTCAAGAATTTTAGGTCTCCAAACTATTGTATACTTAGTTTTCTGCTGTCATTAGTAACTGACATTTTACTGACTGACGGGGTGATGTGTTAAATCTGCAGCATTTTTGGACTTGTAAAGACCTATATCCTGAACATCAGATGAAAAATGGAATTATTAAAGAACTAAAATAGTGCTCAAGTCCTTACCAAGTGGACACTGACACAATTTTTTTTAAAGCTAAGAATGATTACATTGTAGTAAAACTTGGATTAACCTGAACAATCCCACCAGGAGAGTAGGTAGGTTTTAGTCAATATTGTTTCAGGTCATGCATACACATATATATATATATATATATGACTTTAAACAGAATACACTGTACAACTTCAATAGAATGGTTTGAAGTATTACAGGTTCTTCTCAAGGAAATGGAGATGCTCTTCATAAAGCAGTGGTGCATGTTGCTTCATACTGAGGACAAGAGTGAATTGAGAATAAAAGAAATCAGAGTAATAATTTTATCAAAAGTTGTAATTGAGAAATACCCTACATAGGCTGTGAGCATCCCAAAGAGTTGGCATTGCCTCTGTATCTCAGTGAAGCTGTTTGCCACCTAAGCCAAAAGAACTATCTGGAATTACAATGAAACAAGACACTGAAATATTAACTAAGTAGTTATAATGACAATAAATCAGAAGCCACATTTGTCATTTGGCGAACGTCTCTGTCTCAGTAGTGTCCATGGGGAAAAGAAATAAAGAGAATGTTTAGGCAAGAGCCGCGTAGAAAGATGATGGAGAAGTCAGGGCAGGCCATTCAGTTTTCATAACCAGGTTCTCCTTCTTGCTAGCCTTTTGTGGTTATGAACTTGCAGCATGTCCGTGTGAGTGCGTTTTAGGCAGGCAGGGTTAGCAGAGAGGCTGAGATTTGTGTCTCTGCCCTTATCTTTTCCACGGTCAGATGCTGATGCTGCGCTCAAGAAAAGCGAGTCGTGCGTTGTCGGTGAAGAGGGAGCGCAGGGAGCACTGATTTATCTGCACTTGCCCTCCTCTACACCCATCAGCCTCCTGCACAGGAACACTGGGCTGCCCGAGTAATCCTGAAGACCGGAGATAATGGTTTTAATCCTAGTGATCAAGTGAGCAGCCAGGATTAAGTACTGTAGTTCCATTTAATTAATGGCAAGTGTATTTTGCTGTATTTTAGGGAAGCTGTCAGTTTGCCGCTGTGGAGTGAAACGCTGTCTCGGTACCAAGCGGAGTTATAACGTTTACCTCCTGGCTTGGCTTCCTCCTGGAAGTTTTACAGCTTCCAGCTGTCATAAAGCACATTAAACAGGAACTCCAAAAGCAATTTCATTTTATTTATGATTATAAAAAAGGTCTAGTTCTAATGGGAAACCTGAAGTATTTAAAGATAGCAACAGGCAGCATGAACACAACTCCTGCCTACCACTTCCCCTTCAGAGAACAAGTAGTTGTCTTCCAGAGAATTAATATTCAGAGCAGGTCCAGTTCCTCTTACCTGCCAGGTTCATTTTATTATATAATAAAATCTGATTTATTCTCATTTGGATATAGAGTATATAGCCTTATAAGCATAAGCCATTTATAAACAGTTACTTTCCAAGTAGCGTAATATAATACCTACTCTCCTAGGTATTTCTGAGGAATACCAAATATTACTTGCCAAAGGGCAGAGATAAAAAGCGGTGTTTTGGATCTGAACATTGAGCCTGGAGCTAATCCCTAGTTATGCTGATATCTTTTCAGTTCTTCAGTCTGAAAAAAGGATAAATAAAAAAGCAGACTAGTGTGCTCCTCAGTGAACTTTCTGAGTCTGGTAAACCTAACTCTCTCTTTATATTTTACTTACAGAATGGTCTTATTGTTGCCTGTTACCAAGGTTACGTGGATATTGTAATAGCCTTAGCACAATGCCCTCACCTTGATGTGAACTGGCAGGACAACGAAGGGAACACTGCTCTCATTACAGCTGCACAGGCAGGTAAGGCTCTTTGTTTCACCTCTTACATACAGGGTCTTAGGAAGAATGTGTGCTGTGGCTATTATTTTTAGGATTTTTTCAGAGCCCTAAAAGAAATTGGTCTGCGTAAAATAATCCTGGCCAAGCCTGCTCCCAAGTAAGTTTGTCATGATTTTCTTTGAACTAATTAATCTACAGTAATATTTATCCAATGGATTAAGACAGAAAAAGCTATACATTTCTAGTAGATGCCATTAACTATTTTAACTTAAAGAAAATCTTGCCCCGAGTGTGCAGTACTATACTGCTTTGTTCCTTTAAGCTTATTTTCCTGTGTTTGCTCTGGCAAGCAACCAGTGAACATTGTACTCATGTAATGTGCTGTATTAATGCTGGTAGCATCTCTTTTCTCATGCTTGTTGCACCTACCTCAGTGGGTCTGTAGTAATTGCTGACTGTAGGAAAATGTATCATCGTCAAGAAATATCTCAGCTGCTAAGACATCCTTCAACCACTCCATACTTAAAAGCCACATTGATAACAAAGTCATGAGTACAGTAGCTTTCCAAAGAAAGTAGAGAAGGCTCCAAAACTCTAACCTACTTTTATTTATCTCCCCTAATATAAATTTGGACTATAAAAGGTTTAACTCTGACTCCTTCCTGACCTTTATAACTCATGATAATGAGCTCAGAGTTAATCCAGAGGGCTGACATTGACTTGACACTCTCTGCCAGTACTTGCTATTGATCCCCAAAGCAACTGGAAACGCCTGTAGTCAGCAGAAGCTTATAGGAACTCCTAACAACTTGGATGTTTTCCCCCATCTATGATAATCCTGAGCTACAGTGTTGACACCAGTTATTCAATTCATTAGCACAAGATACTGCTGTAGTGTTAATAGAGATTACTGTGAGGTTAACATTGCAACCAGAGGAGCTACAGTGCAATAGATGCTGCTTAATTATTGCTGAATGTTAAGTAATAACACTGAGCAGTGTATTACAAAGAACTGAAAGCAAAGCTTATGTGAGCTTTCTTTTAGTGGAGGATTTATTTGTTGGGTTTTTTTTTAACTTTAGGCCATGAAAATAATAATATTTTTGCAAAATCAATTATTCTGAGAGATAGCTGTTATTTATACCAAAAGTACTGGTTTTCCTGTGGAAAGTCTAATAGCAAATCCACAGTATTTCAGTTAATTGTAAAGTGATATCAGAAGGTGCTGCCATTTTTGTTATGACCTGGTGACCAGGTAGGCCATCACGTATGGCCAGAACCTGAAGAGGAGCTGGATGAGAAAGAGGCTGCGGTCCTGAGGGATCCTTCCTTGTGTTTCAGAGGCTGCGTCCGTAACACGAGGTACACATACTAAGGGAGATGACAGGGAGGCCTCTTTACTTTTGCTAGAGGAGTTTAAAATCCACACTTGCCTATGCCGTTTCATGACTGCCCAGACATAATGCTCAAACTGAGCATCAGCTTGAATTAAATAGAATTATTTTAAAGACCAGCTAGAGTCTCAGAAGATAAGTGAATTCAGTTCCTCATATTGCTTTTGATAATTTCAGATTCTCATCCTTCAAAGAAAGTATCTAAAGCTGAGGTTTTTTGCATGGGCTGACCTGAGAAAGATAGGCTGGAGGGATCAGTGAAAAGCAGTACTAACAAGCTTGTTAGTGTAGAAAAATAATCACAAAGTGCTTTGCTTAGTGTGTTTCAGGTTTGAAATTGGTCTGTTCACTTGCTCTCTCAATATTTCTTACAGATGTGGGATCCTTTCTCAAAGAGAGCTTGCTTTCCAAAACTGTAAATTTGTTGCAGCCTGCAGCAGGTAGTGCCCAGAAACAGGTGGCGATGCTGTAGAAGCAGAAGCAAAATCATTAATCTGCAGTACAAGGACAAAGCAGAAAAAAATGGGAGTTGGATTCAAACAAGAGACTGAAATAACAAGTGGAAGGAAAGGAAGGAAGGAAGGAACAAGAGTGGTTTCAAAAAAAAGGGAGGAAAATTGCATTACATTTTTTTTCTCAGTTCTGCTGCTGCTGAGGACGTAGCTACATCAGTGGCACTGTATGGTAACTGGCATACACTGGTGTTAAGAGGGAGTCATATTTGCTCACAAAATATAGGTGTTTTATGTTACAGAGACCAGCTTGGGACAAGGCTGTAGAGCTGGGAACACAAAATCAGAAGTTACCCCAGTTTCTGTTTATTATGGGAGACACAAGAACACAAACACCTAAAGCATCCAGAGGATAAAAGGTTCTGGGTGTCTTCAGTTCCATCCATCCATCAGAAAGCATTCACCTCCCATAGACCAAACACAGACTTTTTTCAGGTACAATTCGAAACTGTGATGTTATATGACAGAGCATCTTCCTTAATATGCAGCTTATCCTTCTGCCTGTATTACGTAGATTATTAGCTAATATTGTCATCATTATAGGCATTTCCTCTGTGGCAGCAATTAAGTGAATTAAGCTATTACAGACATCTGTGCTGATCTTTAAATATGGCTCACAAGGCGAAGAAGTGTACCCTTAGCATGCCAGTTCTGGTAGCAGATAGATCTGGCTTAGAAACAGCAAGAGCCTGATACGAATTCAGTATCTCCAAACTGGCTGAGGCCAGGCTCATTTATTTTAGAGCCGCATACAGCTTTCATAGCAAACTTTAAATCATGGAAGACTCACCTGGTTTACAATTTAGATACACGCTTCTAGTTCACCCAGATGAAGGAGAACTGCAGCAAACTTTATGGCCTTAAATCAAAAGCGTATGACAGGGTTTGAACAAAAACGTGGCAGCTCTGAGTTTTGCTTTGAATTTAATATCTGTTTGAACTAGAAATTTGAAGCAAACCTCAGAGGAGAGAAGCTCCTGCAGATTAAAACTGAAGTGGTTTTCAGGAATCCGTGAGACACAAAACTTCTGAGAATCACAAACCTCCTCGTTTTCTTTGTTACTTTTTTGCTGGTATTTTTTCTGTCTCATTTGAGGCCGTCTGCAGTCCCCTGGAGAGTTTTGGCTGAGCAAGGTCTTTCAGGATTGACTCTTAGGATCATCCCAGATTTGCAAAATGTCTCTTACTGCAGCTATACTTTTGGCAAAGGGAAGAACATCTTCAGTAATGTAATAACTGCTGAAAAATCTTCCATCTTACTATTTCTCCTTGTTTCAGTTCCTGTCTCTGGTTTCTGTGGTCAAAAAGCAGTATTTCAGCTGTTCCAAAACCTTCATGAAGACGCACACTGTACATCAGTGAAACAGAGCATGTCCTGCAAAACAAGTTGGGCACAAACATTCTCCCAGTAGTTAACTGATACCCTGCTACAATTTGATATTATGCCATAGAGTCAGTGAAGCTGAAGCCTCTATATTGAGTAAGCAGGACCAGGTCACTTGAGCTTGCCCTGAACCCAGTTCCCTTTTGCTTTGTTCAGCTTGTTGCAGTTTGCCGTATCTTTGTATTTCATTTGCATCAGACTGTGCAAGGTACAAGGAGCTCCTTACTTGGTTTTCTCTGACTCTGGCGTTGTTAAGCTGATCTGCGCTATCTCTATATCTGCTCAGGTTTCAGGAGAGTTTCCAGTTATGCAGCAAGGTAGCAGAGTCCAGCAAATTCTCAGAGATAAAGAGTAACACCTAGAAAACATCTTAAATAACTGGTAGAAGTTCTATTAACTTGCTTGCCAAAGTGAATGCTGGACTGTGTTGGTACAAAGCGACTGTTGATGAAATCTGCACCAGATGTGACACTATAGACTTTTAAAATTGTCCTGTATGAATTATAATCTGCTTCAGTAACATTTCTAGGTGAATTTGAATGACATGCATCACCAAATATTCAGCTGGACTGCAGAGTGAGATGAGAGAATATTTTTACAGCTCCTAGTAATTAAATTGTGATTGTTGCAGCTGCCTGACAGACTGCATTATTTTATAAAGCGTCAAGGCATCATAAAATGAATGACAAGTGAAGGGAAAACTGTTTTGAATGAGTCATAATGGCACTAGATATTTGTCTTGTTCTGATAGTCCAATTATAAAGACATGATGTTTTAATTGGTCTTCCAACCATTTAGCCAGAGATGTCTCTAACTACTCAGTACGCCCTTGGTGACACCAGTTATCCTGGCATACAAGGCACACAAATGGCAACAACAGTTGCCTTTAGAAACAGAACTTAAGTCATTAATTTTACTACCAAAACTGAACATCAGCCCCATTTTCCTATCGCTGGAGAGTAGACAAGAGGCTTTACACTATCAGATGTAAAAATAAAAATGTGGGCTTCTACACAAAACACTCCTTTGTCTCGTATCAGGCCTGGCATGGTTCATGTGTATTATTGGCTGGAGTGTAATCACTTTTAGTGTAATCACTTTTTAATGAAGCACCATGATTGTAAGGCTCAAATTTACCAGGGGAGGGAAAAAGCTGAACCTTTGCAGTCAGTTTCCCCCAGTGATGAGCCTTCCTTCCATAAGCTGTAGGAATCCCCTTTGCAGTGCTGCTCACTGAGTCAAGAAACTGAGGCCCTTTGCAACCTCAGAGTGACCATCTCTGGTCTTCAGTTATTGCCTTATCTTAAAGTGGCTTTTCAGAGAGGAGAGCAGCTTGAGAGAAGGTGGGAACCCAGGTTTCCAGTTTCCTATCCCAAGACTCTGGTCACAAGTCAGTGCCACTTAACCCTAAGGGTGATGACTGCAATGAGCAGGAGAAGAGACAAGGAAAAGAGATCTTATTAATTATCGGCATTTTTCCAGTTATCAAGCCTGCAGGAGTAATTTTTGGTTTAACCTTGAGACAGCGCTTTAATTCTGTGACATATTTTCTCTGCTTTTTCATTTCTTCAAAGGGCACATAACCATTACAAACTATTTGTTGAACTATTTTCCTGGGCTTGATATTGAGAAGAGGAATGCGTTCGGATTCACGGCACTGATGAAATCTGCGATGCAGGGCCGAACTGAATGTGTGAAAGCCTTGATGCTGGCAGGTAGGCAAAATGCTTTGCTGCTTATTCATCATCATCTAACTGTAAATACTAGACAGCCACACGCAAACACCAAGAAGAAAATTGGCTCTTGTTTACTCTGAGAGGTGTGGTGCAGCCTCGCCTGGAAATGGGTGCAGCTTTTAAATAAGTCATAGACAAGGCAGTGAAGCCACGTGCTGCAGGTACAGGAGCGCTCAGTTTGCCTGATGCTGGCAGATGCTAGTTCAGAATTTTCCAGTGCCCATTATAAAGTATCACTTAAAATGAAACTTCAATCCCAAGACCTTATGATTTGTCAAATTGACCTTACAGTGTCATGGCTTTCTATTATTATCCCTGGAGATCTGATGGAAGCTTGTTTTTTCTGTTTTGGTCACTAGAAGCTATTTCATAACCTTTCCATCTTTGTAGATAACTCAGTCCTTGTTATTCTACTTCTTGTACAAAAAGTATTGCTATCAAAGTTCACTATGTGGTTTCTGCCTCTGGTATCTGAATAGTCACCGTCTCGTTTTCATGATTCATAAGAAAACGGAATAGTGGGGAAAACAAACCTTTAGCCAGACAGAAAATGGCTTTGTTAGCCTCCATATCGAGTTTACCTACAGAAAGTTGTATCACCCTGTTTGTGCATCAGAGATAGTGAGGATACCAAAGATTATCCATTGGCTAAGAAGGTGTAGAGTTAATATACGCTGCGTTTCTGAATGGCAGTTTATATACCTGTTTTGGTGAGTATTTTGCAGGTCCTCACATTTTCAGCTCAAAAAAGGGGCCACAAAGGAATTGTGGTAAATTGCCTGCATCCATTTTAATATCTGATTATTTTTTAGCACTGTACAGTCTGGTGATATGTAGAGAGGGGGGGAGCTGTTCATTCAGAATGGATTTAGAAGTAGTTTGGGGCTTAAGGGATACTGAGTGACTGCTGACAATACAGTGCTAGTTTGCTGAAGAAGGTGAAAGAAATTGCTATTAAAAGATTTGGTGAACAAATCAATTTCACAAATAAACCAGCAAAATTCTATGTTAAAACATAAGACTGTATGGAAATACAGGGGGAAAACACCCATAATCAGCTGTGGGTCTGCTTGCATAGCTACAAAGCAGGTATGTGTCTTTAGAAAAGAGTTACAGCTGGGAGGTTTTTAAACCCAGTATCTGTTTAGTGGTTTGGATAAGACCTCTATTGACAGGCGCCTACTTACAGCAGTGCAGGAGGTCAGTAAAGGAAAATAACTCACCTTTCTAGCTGCCTAAGCATGGATTTAACACAGTCAGATGGGGAAGAGGTAACTGCAACGTGTGACAGATGGTTGGAGCTGGATTGTCAAAGTGACTGCTCTTTCTGAAATTTTTGTTCCTGGAGGGTGGCCAAGGTCAATCACTACAAGATTAAGGCGCTCTGAGACACTTGGCCATAATGTTGCTCTTTCAAAGTGAGTCTTTGGAACATGTGAATTTGCTATTCGTGAGCGCACAGCGAGTAAGGGGGCAACCCGGTCGCTCATCGGCAGTTTGTCACAGGCTGCTGCGCTGCCAGGACCGCGCTGCTGCCAGCATTCAGCAAGCGAGCCAGCCTGAGCGGGAGCACAGAAATGCCAGTTGTAATTCACGTGTCAAGCCCTGCTGTAATCTCCAGTGTAAACTCAGCGCTGCTTTAGTAAAGTCGTCGGAGTGGCTGTGGATCTGGAGACTGGGCTTTAAATACTGCGTATAAAACAGGTTGGTAACAGCTGCCTGAGCTCTTTCACTCCCTGTCTTTAAACTCCGGATGTCAGTTTTGCATCTCAAGGGACATTAAACCTTCTTAATCAAATAGGATATTGATAACCCAAAGGAGCATGTGCAGTCAAACTAGTTGTACTGAAAATGATCTTCAGGGCAACTTTTGCAGGCAAATCAAGGCATGTGGCAAATGCAGTTTTCTTAAAAGAAAACCTGTAGGCTATACTTACACTGAAATGACAATTGGTTCAATAAGAACTGCTATTGCATTTAAAAAGGGACATGACTATTCATGTCTCTTCCAGATGAGGCATTCTGCTGAATGACAAGTTTGTTCAGAAATGTCTCCTGATTTGTACAGAAAATCAATACCACTATAGTACATCACGCCTTAGAAGAGACTTTGTGATACAAGGTACAAAGTCAGTATTGATTTCTGTTGAAAGATCAGGATTTCAATACTCTGTAGTATTGTTTTCTGAGATAAAGTTTCCGAAACACCTGGGGATTCATCTGTCGGGGAGCAGCAGGAGTGGGCTTCTCCTCAAAAGGAGGTGAGCCAAGGGTGACAGCAAGGCACACAGAGGCACTGGCCTCATCAACAAAGTCGCTCCTCGAAGAAATGGAGCAGGGCTGGTGACAGTAACCAGGATCAGCCGGTACTGCAGTGATCGCCAGGCAAGTCTGCGGTGACAAGGCAAGTCCATAGCGGCAAGGTAGGTCTGAGGTCAAAACAAGAAATTAAGTCCGTGGGTAAGGGTCCAAATCAGCAAGGCACGTGGCCAGGCGCAGGCATAGCTGCAACATAGCTCGGGCAAGGACCAGAGCTGAGCATCTGAGCTTCAGTGCAGCCCCCAAGCAAAGTGGGGGGGTCCCCAGTGAGCACTTTCTCACACAGCTCTTTTTGCACAACTCTGATCCAGGGTCTCACAGCTGCACCCTATCAGAGCTGGCATGTCTTTTTCTTGAAGAAAACAGTAAGCAGCTGTCTATACCTCTTCCTTGTTTACAAGCAGAGCACACTGTTCATTAGAATTTATATTTGGGGACAATTCCATTAGCTGCTGTTCCTCCTGTGGTAAATCCTTGCCTGTTACATGTACAACAAAGAAACAACTTCCATGTAATCTGCCAGGTTCCCAGTCAGCTCTAGTGGGAAGGCATGCAGACCCAGGCAAGTGTTAAGAAGGGGACAGGACAAGAGGCTAGCCTGAGATGGGAGAGATTGAGGGGTGGGAAGTTTGGGTAGGATGGTTCAAAACCAGGCTGGTGGAGCAGGAGGACATGTCTTTGTATGTCTTTGTTCCTCCCCTCACTGGTGTGTCTGTAGCTTCTGCAATCATGAACTTCATCAAGCCCTGCTGCCTTTGAGATCTCGTAATTCTTTCTTCAGTCCACAGCTAACGAACTCTGATTTGCTTCGCTCTTCCTCCTCTTGGCCTCCTCTCTGCCTTCCAGTCTGGGCCCTGTGCTTGACTCCCTGCAGTGCCCCTGTGCTTTCTCTCTGAGTGGTCCTTTCTGCAAATATCACTTAAATTACACTTAAACTGAGATCAGCTCTTCTGCTTAGGGTGTCTCCATCCACATTCACTCTTGGTCTGTGTCTTTAGTATCCTCTTTTTAGGGATTTTCTCAGAGACTTAGGAATCAACTAGTACTTAATAGAGTTAAAACTGAGCTTTTGATCACTTTCCCCATGCTCTCCTTTTTCCTCTGTTTTTCTGTAATGGCAAAACATCCTTTGTGGGGAAGGTTATACTGGACCCATTGCAAACTGGTTCCCGGTTACCATTCCTTATATGTAGTCCCCCTTACGCTAGTTTGAAATGCTGTCACTGAGATAATCCACCCTGAAAAAAATAATTTGTTATGATGTTTCTCCAGCCTTTTCCTCAGGTCTCGGTCTCTGGACATCTCCCTCTTCCAAAGCAATGGGAGAGAATGTCTTTTCTTTTGTGACAAGACCTGTGTAGGTCAGTTTTTTGTTGGCTGATGGAAAATGGTGCTTCAGCTGACAGAGAAGCCCTTCAAGAAGTCAAATGTTGTAGCCTGTTCATATCCCAGCTTGCAACTTTTTCAAGAAACCCAGAGATTATCTACAGGGCAAGTGATAACGTGTAAACCACAACTGAATGTTAAAGAGCTCAGTTATGTTGAAAGCAGCTGGGCAAAGTGCCTGTGCCTGTCCCAGGGAATGTGCTGCAGAGCTGCTGAACAAAGTCTACATTCTGGAGAGTGCAAAGCTCCCTCTGAGACCAGCTGAAGTTTAAAGGCAGAATATAAAACAAAGGATTTGCAGCTTAAGAACGTGACTGCCTGAAACCAGAGAGTATTCACTCATTCTCCTATGGATTTCATTCACTCACCCACATACCCAAATACTCTAAAACATGAAGATGTGTGCCCAGGTGGTATGTCCAGGATCACTTGGGTGTGATGCAGAGGATATGATGCTGGCTGTCAAGTCCTCGACACGTCTCTGAGTGTCTTTTTGATTGGCGACACCAAGCTAGTTTTTGGACAGATCTTTTGTACTCTTCAGCATTCACTAGCTGTAATGTGTTGGGTGTTTGCAACAGTGTCTTGCTGACTTCAGCTTCTAAAAACACTTGTTGCTGCTCGTTGTTCTGCAGCGATTCTTCCAAAGGTGTACTCTGTATTGAGCTTCCTCTGTCTTTTACAGAGCCCTTCTATGTGAGCAGAGCTAGGCACGTGCCATCCTCATTGACAAATGCCCATGCTCCCACCCTAATACCAGAACTGAGAGGAATTCCCAGCAATTTTCTGGTTGCCAGGGAATGTGACAGCATTGGATATAGTACTACAGAAGTTGTAAAGGATACAGTAGAGCAGACTAGGATGCTTGCTCCTCCTGTTACTCTTGTACCCTCTCTTCAGGCAGCCAGGTGCCCTGAAGGAGAATTGTGTAACCCCACTCAAAAGCAAAAGAGTGAAGACCAAGGGCAGAAGCCCATGTGAGGGAGCTTATAGGAACAGGGAGAGATCAAAAGGAAGGGAGAGCTGGAAAAGGATGCAGAAATGTATGAGAGGAAAGAATGGTGAAGGGGACAGATGTCAGAATTGGATGGGTAAAGATCGTAAATTGGGCATGGGGACACACAGGCTGAAAGATAATAACCAGTAGAAATCATTTCCTTCCAGGACCTAACACTGTACTTCAAATGTCAATGCCTCCGCTGTCTAGCGTGTGTCCCAGTCGCCTCTCGTGGCTGGTCCACTTGGCGATAATAGTATGTTTTTGCTAACAGGTACTTCATTTCCTCAGGGGTGGTTCTCTAAGGTAGATGAGAACAGCTGTTCTGGGCTCAGACTGAAGGTCCATCTCACCCATTATCTACTCTCTGACTTGTAGGGAAACTTTCCTTATATTTAATCACTCTTGTCACCATCCTCTCAACTTTCCCTAATTCTGCAGTGTCCTTTCAGAGATAAGAGATCCTTAATTGTACACCTAATGTTTTCTTTATTTTTTCCTTTTTTTCCCTACTTTTTCTCTATTTTTTAATGCTTTTCTAGAAATTCCTTGTATTTTATTTGCTATTTTCACCCCTAGTGAGCACTGCATTGATATTTTCATGGACCTTCTGATGATTAGCTCAAGATCTCTCTTCTGAGTGGCAGCAATCAGTGCAAAGCCCATTATTCTGTATGGGAAGGATTTTTGTGTACAGAATTGTTTCTTTCCATGTTCATCACTCTTTTCTTGCGAGCTCAAGTGAATGGATTTTAAAATGGCAGGCAACATTCAACACAGTTGAAATTCATTATGTCATTCTTTGCATTGTTTTCAGAGAATTTCATATATGCAGCCTGAATTTCTTTTTATTATTTTTTTTAAAATAAATCAGGAGTTTAGAAAGTCAGGAACCTGATCTCTCCTTATTGCATGTTCATTTCAACACAAATATTATTGTGTGGCTGTCCTGCTTTCTGCAGGGATAGAGTTAATATTTGTTCTAGTAGCTGGTATAGTGTTATGTTTTGGATTTAGGATGAGAAGAATGTTGATAACACACTGATGTTTTCAGTTGTTGCCAAGTAGTGTTTATACCATGTCAAGGATTTTTCAGCTTCTCCTGCCCAGCCAGCAAGAAGGCAGGAGGGGCACAAGGAGTTGGGAGGGGACACAGCCAGGACAGCTGACCCAAACTGGCCAAAGGGGCATTCCATACTGTGTGACGTCATCTCCCGTATATAAACTGGGGGAGTTGGCCTGGGGGGATCGCTGCTCGGGAACTAACTGGGCATCGGTCGGTGGTTGGTGAGCAACTGCATTGTGCATCACTTGTTTTGTATATTCCAATTCTTTTATTATTATTGTCATTTTATTATTGTTGTTATTATCATTATTATTTTCTTCCTTTCTGTCCTATTAAACTGTGTTTATCTCAAGTTTTACCTTTTTCCTTCCAATTCTCTCCCCCATCCCAGTGGGTGGGGGGGAAGTGCAGTGAGCAGCTGCGTGGTGCTGAGTTGCTGGCTGGGGTTAAACCACAACAGTGTCGTATGTGACATTTTCTTGCAGGGATCTGCCTGATTCAACTCTGATCATAGCAACAAAATGTGGGCAGTTTCATTAAGTAACACTAATTGGTTTTCTTTTCTTTGAGGGGCAAATGTTCACGCGACTGACCCAAGCCGTGGACTGACTTCATGGGAATGGGCTTGTTACACAGGAAGATCAGAGTCTGCCTTCATCATGCAAAAGCTGATGGACAGGCCATGCCCGGAACAGTTTTGTGATCAATATAAACCAGAATGGCCAAAGATGAAGGAACTTCTTGCCAAGGCCGCAGAGCCAAAAAGCTGTTTGCAGAGGATTTCTGAGTGCATGAGGGCAGCTTTCCCATTCCGGTCTTTCTACGGCCCAGAAGAAGACGGGGTCCTCGACCACATGGTGAAGGTGACAACAAGCTTGGGCAGTCCTTTCATTGCTCTGTCGTGCCGGACTGTGTGCCCAGGGAGCCCACCTTCTGTGGGGAAACGCAGACTGGCTGTGCAAGAAATCCTTAGGAAGCAGAGAGCCGAGGAGATCCGATCTCAGGACAAAGATCACTTTAGCAGCTATGAGAAGCTATTTCAGAACTCCAAGGTCACACTGATCCCCAAGAAGAAGGACCGGCGAGCCAGCTTGCAGCCCATCAGCCTTGCAGTCTCTCAAGTGAACACCATAGCTACTAGGAAAGCCAGCCTCTTGCCGCTCCACCTACTTAGACGGAGCAGCGTCAGGCCGGGATTTGTCATCCCCAAAGTCCGTATCAGCAAAGCTCCTCCACCCACCTTCCAGCCAGAAAAGGCGAGAAGGAGGAGCAGTGCGAAGGATGACCCTTATTTGCAGATTCCCAAATGGAGATACAAGGAGCTGAAAGAGGAGCGGAAGAAGGCGGAGGAACAGGAGAAGAAAAAAGCAGCAGAGGCTCAAAAGCAGAGGCAGGTGTCTCCTGCCAGATGCAGGACCTGATTTAAGGGCAATTGCTTGGAAGGTTTTAGAGCCTTTAGTCTTGTTATCTGAGCAAGATAACAGACTGAATGCCTTCGTGCATGCCCACTGCTCACAGAGCTGGAATACTGAGTAATGGCCTTTAAGGTGCAGAAACAGGGCAAGGGCTATGCCACAGTGTGTCTGATGGTGGAGCAGGAAAGTATTTTCAGGTGGAGGACTTAATAAGTTTACCTGTCTGCTGTTGATGGGAAGTTTTAAGTGGTGCAGTCCTTTTGCGGTTTCCTTTTTTTCCAGTTCCAGGTGAATGACTGAGAAACAGCTTGAAAAACCAACATGGGTGTGAAAGGACCATATTTTGTGTTTGTTCATTTTGTAAGGGACAAAATTAAGGAGTTGTGCTTTTGACACTAGACATTCCTCCCTCTCCTTGCTTAGGTAGACATATTGCAAGGTTTTATAGTAATAATGTGAAGTTTAAAACATACCACAGTGCTGGTGGGCAGTGAAAATCCAGGTCTACAACTGCTTTGAATATACTAAGCACTTTAATTCCAGTAATCAAAGTTTAAGGCAGGATAGCTATGAAATTGTACAGCTCCATACAGTCTGTATGGATGCAGTTCTTAATGCTATTGTTTGTTCTGTTGAATATAAAAAGGGCCGCATATGAAATATTTATGTAGTTGAGGTATTCGCATCCTCTGCAGGTATAAATCAGGGGCAGGGACTGATTTCTTTGGAGCAACAGAGAAGCTGAGCTAATTTTTGCATGCTACCATCACCTAAGATTTGCTTCCCCCATTAAGTTTCCCTGTATCTGCTATCTGTTGTCTCCTCTTTAGTCTCAGGGAATTTTTTGTCATTGTGTTTAACTGTGAAATAAGGGAGGTGGTGAGCCACAGGTGGGCTTTTTTTTTAGGTTGATTTTTAAGTTCCTGTGAAAAAAACACACCAGGTTTATTGTGAGCCTTTCCAGATTATAGCCAGGACAGGAAAATTATGCAGCTTCCAGAAGTTCAGGCAACTTTCCCAGGTATTAAGTCCAGCCATATGCTATGAACATCCAGTCAGAGATGCAGTATCAGGCAGCTTGGCCACTAACGTTTGGAAATGGTAGCCAGATGTTGTTGGGAGCTGTGGTAGTACGCCTCTGGGTGCCCAGAGAGGGCAGTACCTCACCCCTCTGTCTCAACACTGGGAGAAAACCTTCCCTAGTACGTGAGTGCATCTCCAAGGGGCAGTTCCCACAGGTTGCTGCAGGTTCTTGTGGTCCACCTTAAGGCTTCGTTTGGTTTGACCAGCAGTCAGTCTGAATGGCATGCCAAACCCCAGCAAATTCTGGTAAGGAAGGGCTGTAAACCTGCTGCTTGCTGAAGAAAGACCACATTCATAAAAGTAGAGGTCAAACGCAAACAGCAAGTCACACAGCACGTGCTCAGGCTATGTTTTTGCTCAGGCTTTGCTCCCATTTGAAATGAAACATGCTGCGGTGTGTTCTCCTGACGGTGTTGCTCTGCCGGAGCCCAAGCAGACCCCAGCTGCTGCTGTCACCAGCTTCTCCCTTCAATTAAAGAGAGGGAAGATTTCTACATCCTTTACTCCCACAGCGCAAAGGCTGGCCACGGTCTCACTGAACTTGTAATGAAACTGTGCGTGCCATGGGAGAAATAAATTCAGTTGACTGAAAACTAGCACCCAGATTGGTATTGCTAGCCAGCGTCTGCGGGGTCAGGGTTATGGCAGACGTGTGAAACAAGGATTTTTCCACACAGCCTGTTCTTTGTACCTCTTGCTGGACTAGCTGTGCTGGCTAGACTCAGTTGCCAGGTAGCCCCCCCAGGTCAGAGTTGGAGGAATATGCACCCTGCTAATAAACCTCCCCAGCCCTGTGGATATAAAGAGGATTTTAGTCTTGTGACTGCATCAGCGCTGTGCAGTTCATAGGCACCAATTTTGTAATGGATTTGGTGTGACCAGAGTATAAGCTGAACTCATTTCTTTGCAGAGTAGGAAGACAATCTTTTAGCTGTCTGTGGCAAAGATATCAGGATGGATTTTGAATTGGTACACTGGATTGAATAGCTTAACTATTAATTTTTGTTTACTGCCAACCCAGTGTACTGAAGATTTAGCATTCAGATTCAGTACCTGAAAAGCGACCTGTGCTGCAGGTGAACACTTGAATTTGCACTCCCAGTATCCCTTGCAGGAGACATACAATTAACAGGTGCTCTCAGGGATTAATGTACAGTATGTTAGAATTAGGGGCTGAAAATGAAGCCTGTTTTCTAACCCTTTGTACTTTACTGTGCATATATGTATAAACGTGATATTTCCATTAAAAGAGGCACAAGCTGTTAAACTTATTTGGCGACCTTTATTCTTCAGAGTGGTTTGGGGATGCTGCCTTTCGCTTTTCAGTAGACCAAAAAGCCCACCCACTTTCACCAGTGGACTAATCAGCACCATCTGAAAGCAGTTTGGTTTCCCTGGAAGGAGCGATTGTGGGTTAACTTCCACTCCTTGTGAATTTTTCCCTAGGAGTAAAAGAAAACCACTACATTTGTCCCGACTTAGGGCTTTGGCTGGCCATCTCAGTGGGGAGAGAAGCTGTTGGCTTTGATCACCTGCGGCCACATTGCTCTGCTGCAAGCCTGCAGTCCCCTGGCATCCTTACGACTGCGTGGCTCCATTTTGTGCATCTCTGTAAAGCTTTGCACTTGCTAGGTTGGGAAGCGCAGGCACCGGACTGTGTCTCCTCATTGCCTTCCTCCCCTGCTGCCTCACTGCCCCCCGCTCCAGCCATCTTACTCCTCCTCTTCGTCACCATCCTCATCCAAAGTGCTGTGCCTCTCGTTTGTTTTTTTTTTATTGTCTCTCTGAAGGGTCTGCAGGTTGCAGTGGGCAAAGCTCCCACAAAATGTGCTTCTAGAAACCTGCAGCAAATGGACCATAGCAGGGCAGGAGGCACGCCTGGCTCTCCTCCAGCCGTCCGTCCCCCTTGAGCTGCTGCCGCTGCCGAGGATTTGATTTCTGTTTGATTTCAGCACAAATGGAGTGGTTTGTTTTGTGTTTTGTTGCTTTTTTGTTTTTTTTTCCCCAAGACAGCCGTAACTGTGAAATGCCAAGCAATACCTGCTGTACTTCAGATGGCTCCTGGTCACTCGAACAAGAGTTTACCTCCTAAAAAACCAGCATGGGAACCCTTGGGAGCACCTCCTGGCAGCTGGAGCCCCTGAGGGAAGGCAGAGGTGCTGCTGCGGGAGGATGCTCCCACAGAGGGGAAGGGGACACTGATTCCTGGGGCGGAGGAAGGTTTTCGACCTGCCTTCCTCCAGCGCCAGGCTGCAGTCCGGCACGTTAGCGGGAACGGTGCTCCCGAGCGTTGTGCGTGAATATGGAGCACAGGCTGCGTCTGCCTTCACGGCCACTGCTCGTCTCGGTTTGCTGCGAGCTTTGGCGTGACGGCCAGCCTCTCGTCGCCTGACGCTCACTCGCCGGGAAGCACCCAGCCTGACGGGCTGACTTACTTCTGCGGTAAGCCACAGGGATTTAATATAGCGATGGTGGAAAGCGAAATCCCAAGCGCTTCCCGATGCTCTCTAGAATGATATTGTGCTCTCCTCTCTGGAGAGCAATGGTGTTGCAAGGAGAAGACCACGCAAGTTTTTTCAGGTGGGAACGCAGAATTACATGCAATTGGCTCCTCGTGTCACTATGTATTAGTCATTTGGGTTTTCTTTATGCCAATGAAAACTGTTCCTTAAGCCTTGACAAAAATCCTCACTGGGCCTCTTCAATGAATGCCTTTTTCTTAATAGTCCTGAATGCTCTTGCTCTCCTGCTAAGGGACTGATTCTAGAGCAGCCGGTAAAAAACCACCCTGAATAGAAAAATGGCAACATTCTTTGAGGGTATTTCTTTTTTAAACACCCGCATTTCAGCAGGAAACTTCCAAAAGCTGTGACTGAAATCGGGACCCACTATGCAGGATATGCCACTTTGCAAATGGTCTGAACCGAAGCCTGCTCTTTTTTTGCCGTAATTCATGCGATGCAGCCTGGTTTTGCTAGGTCTGCTCGTTGTGCCTCATGACAAAAGACTCCCCAGTTTGGTTAGACACCCGGAGGCCGTAGGTGGGCAACAAGCTGGGACGGGCAGTTGGGTCCGTCCGTCCTGCCCACACATTCCAGCATTTTGCTGGATTAGTATTCTGCCAATTTAACGAGCTAGACAGAATGACGGGAGCAGGGAAGGGAAGGGGCAAGATGTCGTCGCCCGGCGCCAGCGCTCGCCCCGGGCTGAGGAAGATCTCCCCACCGCAGGCTGGGCCGCTCCAGAAAACATCCCGCCGTGTGACGGACACGCTCTTCATTTGTTATCTCTTCCGAACCCCGAGGAAAGGGGCTTGGACTGGTTTGCAGATGGTGAGGAAAGTTACAGCCTGTAAGTAGGGCAGAAAGATTTGTAGGAAATGGGAATTATCCTCACATTTTTCTTCCCTTTAAATTATCACAGGTAGAATTACAAACCCATATGGCCATTTGGTTCATTTAAAGAGCTGCTTCATTACTTAGCTAATTACTCACCCAGGGAGTGTATTCAGCAGAGAGAGCAGCTGAGCAGCCAGGCCACCATCTTCTCGAGGCAGGCGAATACTGGGCTGACAGTTCCGCACACTGTCCATATACAGTAAATTTTGCAACTAAATCTTTGAATTCCAAGTCACTGAAAACTGCTAAACTAGCGTTATCAGAGATAACAGTGGGCAGAGATAATCCTTGGAAGAGTGGACAAGAGGTAATGGAGGCAGTGAGGGGGAAAGAAAATATGTCAATGTCTACGGTGTGACTCTGATTTAAAACAAGATTGGCTTCTTGACCCAATTTTTTCTGACTGTTGTGTAGACAAGAGTTAAAAGCAGCCACAAAAGCTGCTCTGGTCTGCTAAGGAATATATTATTTAAAAAGAAAGTGATTCAATGTGAGCCTCCTTCAGCGTCTCCTCCGTTTCTGGCAAGATACCTTGCGCTCAGGGAGTGCAAAGGTGTTGAAAACGGTTGCTCAAAGCGTCGAGGAAAGCCAGTTTCCCAGCATTCTCTTTTGACACTTTTTACTCAGCAATGACTTTGGACAGAGTTATAAAAGATTTGCTCTGAGGTTGGGGAAAATGTCTCC